TCCTTACCCAGAACAGATGTGCTTTATGTATAGACCCCAAACCGGCAAGTTGTACATTTTAAACTTTCAAGTCTTTGATTATGACACTGATGTCTGAGTCTTTTTTTTGTTTGTTTGTTTCCTGTGTTAATTTCTACTTGATATTTTCTACCATAGTGATTCTTTCTCTGGATCAGAGAATCAAAATGGGGATTGTGCCAGTTACCGAGTACAATATATCTATTCTAGTTACACATTATAGAACTGGGGAAATGCCCACAGAGTGGGTCCATGGGACTGTGTGGTTCACTATGATTCAGACTTGCTCCTTGAATTGTGTCACAGATTATCTGTGACATCTTGTTGCCTACATGATTGTTTTTTAATAATTTTAATGAAAAAGCATGTTTGAGGCATAGGAGATACATTAGCTTTTTTCCCTCTTGTTTTTAAGGATATAAATTTATAAGGCAGAAATATTAAAACAAAATTATATTAATATTCAATATAAATAAAAATATTCAATTTAAAAATACTTTACACCTGGAGTTGAGGCAAAAGTAGAGCCTTCTCATGCTTCTTTCCATAAGTTGTGTCAACCACTGGCAAGCAGAATGTTAAATGTTTTGAAAGTAAGCAGTAGTACAACTAGTTTTTAAAAATAGGTACATACTGTTGAACTAAAGTGGACTGAGTACAATAAAATTTAAAATGTTATATTTGCCATGTATTCAAAATATATTACTAAACTTTGCTATAACTAAATTAATAAAACTGTTTTAAAGCATGGCCTAATGATTTATTTTGGCCAGAGTGAGGAATCTCATAGATAGGATTTTAAGTGAGTTCGTGGGAGTAGATTGTGACTCTGTGTATGGTTTTTTTTTTTTTTTTTTTTTGACTTTTTCCTTTGTATCGGTACCAGGGATCGAACTCACGACTGCCTGCTTGCAAGGCAGGCGCTTATGCCACTGAGCTAAATCCCCAGCCCCAGTTTTAAGGCATGATGAAAACAAACAGCATTTTATTGGAACACAGCCTTGTTCATTAATTTACATATTCCCTGGCTGGTTTCGACCCTATATTGGCATATTTGAGTACTCAGTAGAGACTGGCCAAGGGAGTGCAAACTACTTACTGTCAAAAGTTTGCCAATTTCTGGTTTATTTGGTTAAAGTAAAAACCTAGGTTTGCACTGTGAGCCACGTGGAAATTACACGCAGCTTACTTTAAACACCTAACCCTTTCTTTCTGTGCTGCTGTGGCCGTTTGCGCTGCCTTGCTGTGTTCCTCTAGCATCAGGAGCGTTGTGAAGAGCAGGACTTTTGCACTGGCTGCGTCCTCGACTCACCACTTACTTCCTCCTTCTCTTGAAATATTTCAGTATTGAAGTTCATATGATTATTTGTATTTTAAATACCTTATACTTGAAATTAGATTCAGGTTGTAATGTAACAATTTTTGCTAAGAACTTAGGAGAAAATAATCCTCTTGATAGCATAGTTTGAACATCTTAACTGAAACTGATGTGAGGGAGACATCCCCACTGGTTCTTTTCCTAATAAAGGTTAGTTTTGTTGATTTAAGACTGTTGGTTTATGGGTACTGTTTCCGTGCCATGATAAGTCATTCTCATCCCAGTCTTTGAATCAGCACTCAGGAGAATTACGCTACGGGCTGAGAGGACTTGGGCAGAAGGGTTTCATTTCGCCTATCTCTCTTCTCTGTTGTCTGTTGTCAGTGATCAGTCCATTCAACAGATACATCCATTAGCGGAGTGTCCGACATGTGCTAGGTGTAAACATGTGTCTTACGTATGTTTTCTCATTTTAAATCCTCATAAGATATGCATTATTTCCATTTTATAAACTATTAAGTTTATTCTAAGAGAGATTTAAGAAGCCCTATCAAAAGGTTACAAAATTAATACAGTCACAGCTCCTGGTCTGAAACTAATGGTAGTGAAATTTTATGCTTAAACTCTTTGAATCACTTCTCATATACCTGACCTTTAGAGATAAACATTTATAGAGCACGTGCTTTATACTAAAATCTCTTTTAGTATCTCAAAAATTAACAGTGGAGAAATGGAGAGATGACTTGTGAAGAAAATAGAGAATTTGATAGGTCTTAAGAGGAATGAGGAAGTGAAACTTGAAGGAAAAGGAAAATTACTTTAATAAAACCACAAATGACTGTTATGTGTGTGACTATCTCATGTGAAAGCATTTAGTAAATTTATTTTGTTTTAATGGTCAAAGGAAAGCTGAGTGTAGTTGGATTTGGCTTAACAAATAAGTGATGAGTGTCACTAGTGGTAAATGTTCAGTATGAAGCTAAAGAGTGCGGAGGATAGAGACCCCAGCTAGTACCCTCTAATCATGTGTTTATCAGGAGCAGTCAGTTACCTTTGGAGCTCTTAAAGCATGCATCTCAGGGCTAATCAGGGTCAGCCAGAGAAAAGGTGGGAAAGGGGAGGGGCGAGGAAGAAGAGAGACAGGAAGCGGAGGAGAAAGACTGTAGAAAGAGCAAAGACAATCTACTTAAATGGTAACCCCCCAAAAGAGAAGTGTGAGTGAATAGTAGGTACAGAGAAAAAGGGGTCATTTTGCTCTTCCCACCCTATTCTGTGATAGTATCAGCTGGTGTCACTGCTTACCACGTGCCAGGTGCCATTCTAAGCAGTGGGTTTAGTCCTTTGTAGTTAATGCTGTGAGGTGAGTTACATTTTCCTTCTCTTTTTTAGAGGATCTGTGGTGTGTGTGTGTGTGTGTGTGTGTGTCTGTTTTAAAGATGTGGGAAGCCTTGGGCACAGCAACTCTTTCCTGCCTATAGTACCTTAACATTTGCTATACTCTACAGTAGTTATAAACATAAGAATGAGCAATTAAGAAATAGTAAAAGTTTTTCGTTAATTTATCTAGGTCTGGTACCTTTGCAAAGCTATGTCTTTGTCCTCTATTCTTTTTTTATAGTTATTTGCATGTTCAGGTTTCTGGCTTTTATTAAGGGAATTTGCCATTTTATAGTTTCTTAGAACATTGTCCACTTCAACACATCCTTATATTTATTTGTTTGAAATACATGTTATTTTCTTGTAGTTTTTTAAACTTTATTAAATGGAATTACTTCCTTTCTGTCTAATGTTATATGTATTTACTCTTTTGTTCAGATTTGCATAGTAATGGTTTATTGTATTGGGCTGTCCAGAGAGCAGCTTTGGGTTGGATTTATTGATTGCCCATTATTACTGCCTACTTTAGTTTCTGTTTAATTAGTTTCTACTTCTATAAATTACTCCTGTTTCTCTGGACACCCTTATTTTATTAATACTTTTTCCCATTGATTTTAAATTTATAGGAAAGTTTTAGGATAAATGATTAAGGAACTCCTATATATACTTTACTCAGATTCACCATAAGCTGGTTTTGTTTTATTTACTATTCTGCTTGAATTTTAAAATTCACGTGTATTATTTCTGAGAGCCACTTTAAAAATGTGAGTTGGGGCCATTCACCAGTTACTATTACATTTGAGTGCGTATGTGCTAAGAATCACAGTAGAGTTATCAAAATCAGAAACTTTAACTGTGATATGTTATTGTCTAAACCACATTCCGTAGATTTTGTCAGTTGTCTAATAAGGTCCTTAATCATTATTTCATTCCTACGCAGGGTATTATGACATGTGTTACATTCAGTTATCTTTTTTTTTTTTTTCTTAAATGAGGATTGGACTTTTTGTTTGGACTTACTGTAATTCTGTATGAGTTAGGTTCACAAAGTAAATTTTCCAGACCAAATATTTAATGCCCCTTCATTTACTATGGCCTCCAGAGTGTTAGATAAACTCTCGACTACTAAACTATGCCTCTGACCGCAGTTGTTGTCTCTTGAATGTTATTTAGGTATTTTATAAGCCTCTTTCTCGCCCCTCACTGAGGGTTGAACCCAGGGCCTTTGCACTGACCTGTGTTGTTCAGCCCTTTTTATTTTTAGACAGTGTTGGTAAATTACTCACCCTGGCTTGTGGTTGTGATCGTCTTGCTAGGATACTGTGGTTTCAGGCATGTGCCACCATGCCTAAACATTTTGTTGTTCTGTTTCATTTTTGTGTGTTTCTTGACCTTGACATTTTACACTTTTCCCCCCTTCTAGCACTCAATTTGGGTTTGTTTAATGAGAATAGTTCAGGTTGTATATTTCAGAAATGTTAGTGTGTTTTTAGTGTACTGTATCTGGAATCTTCTGATGTTGTTCACAGTGGTATCCACAAGGTTTATACATTTTAAGCTGTTATTTTCGTTTCTAATAATTTGTTAGTACTAATACTGAGCTGCTATAAATACCTACTCCTCATCCTTTCACCTTTGGGTTTGTTACTCGTTTCTAGACTAGTTTCTGAAATGCTTAATTAAGGTTATAAACTTCCTTTCTGGTTTTTTTTTTTTTTACTGGGAATCGAACTCAGGAACCATTGAGCTTGCTCAGTGCTGTGCCACTGAGCTGTATCCCTGGCTTCTGAGCTTTTCTTGGTATATTACTTTGACGTATTGTCTGAGAGTCCTTACAGTAAGACCTGCAATGAAAGGAGACAGTGATAGAAAGGTTGTTTACAAATTATCTACTACTAGGAAACCAGCAAGAAAAACCTGAACAGAGTATTGTAAAGATGCCCAAAATCAACCATTAAAAAAGATTTCTAGTCCTTAAATAACAAAAGACGTGCTCACTGATCATGACTGGTCCACATATGAATAAGTTGTTTAAAACTATAAATTTATGACGTTTATTCACCCACTCACCTTTATGGTACTGTAGACTGAGCTCAGAGTCTCCGACTGCGCTGTCACTGGTCACCTTTCTTCTTTTTCGGAGACTGGGTCTGAATCAGTTGCCCAGGCTAGGTTCAGATTTGTATTCCTCCTCTAAAAAGTTTGTTTCTTTAATGTGATGGGTATTTGGGGCTTGCATAACAAATATGTAAACATCTCAGACTGTGTTTTTACTTTACCATTTCAGGAGCAGTAGCAGTAGCACGCAAGAATCCTGTTTCCAGCTGGTTCACTGCTATGCTACACTGCTTTGGTGGGGGAATTTTATCCTGTTTGCTGCTTGCAGAGCCTCCACTGACGTTTCTTACAAACCACACTAATGTTTTACTGGCATCTTCAGTCTGGTAAGCTGCCAGTTTGGTGAACTGTGAGATATTTTAACAAAATGTTTAGTAAATTGTTAGTAAAATGGAATTTATTTTCTTGAAAAAAATTTTTTTTTTTTTTGGTACCAGGAATTGAACTGACAACTGCACTTGTCAGGGGGACGATGGGCCACTGAGCTAAATCCCCAGCCCTTAAAAACATTTTATGTTAGGGGCTGGGGATTTAGCTCAGCAGCATAAGCGCCTTCCTTATAAGTGTGCGGTCGTGAGTGTGCGGTCCTTCGTACCGATAAAAACGAAAAAGACAAAAAAAAATTTATGTTCAAGGATAAAATACATCTCTTTATGTCTTTCTCATCTTGCTTCCCCTAGAGGCAATTATTGTTACTATTGTCTTATGTATCTTTAATGGAAACATTTCAAACATGAAGGGGCATTAAGTATTTGGTCTGGAAAAACCAACTCATTCAGAGTTACAGCATGATAAACATCATGAATGTGACTGATCAAACAAGAAGTCCAGGTAGTGTGGCTCATATATAATTGTTCTTGTCATACTCTTTGTTGGATTTAGAGCCTTATGAGAGCTCTGAACATTAATTTTTTAGTTTTGATGTGAAGAAAAGTAAATCCAGACTCAGGTATCCTGAAGAGGATTGATGTGTTGAAGAAAATGTAAAATACAAATCAGTGTGCTCTGTTTGTTGAGAGCAAAAAATGTGCTTCTATAACAATATATTCAAAAAGTAACAGCATTTTGAAAAGGTTTTCTGGGCATAAATTGTGCTAAAACTATATAAAAAGTAAGATATATATAGTATCTGATACTTTCCATCAATTCCACCTCTGTTCTTGGAATTTTAACTACCACTTCTTGCTTGGATAATTTCAGTAGCTTCCTAAATGGTCTAGCTGCTCTTGTCTTAGGAACAGATTATTTCAAAATAAGTTAGAACATGTTACTCTGTGCCCAAAAGTTTTATCTTATCATGAGCAAAGTCTTATAATGGCCTATAAAACCCTACAGGAATTTTTCCTGTACTGTCTCTGATGTAATAAGCTAGCACTGTTTCCCCCTTACTGCATTCAACCACATGAACTTGCCCGTTTCTTGACATGTAATGTATGATTTAACCTCAGTGCCTTTGTACTTGCTTTTTCCTTCCTGTATTGTTCTTTCCCAGAAAGCTCATATTTTCTTTTATCAGAGAAGTCTTTCCATTAACTATCCCATGATTTTTCTCTTATTTTTCTTCTTAGACTTATTGCTACCTGACATACTATGTTTTTTTTTTTTTTTTTAATATTGGGCTGTATCACTCATCTAGAATAACAACTTATTGGAGCAGCAATTTTGTTTTGTTATCTGGGTCCAAGTGCTGTTACAGATTCAGTGAATACAACACTAAAGAAATGGATTACTATATCCTATTGTAAGGGATTTTTGGATTTGAGTAAGGAGAACTGCAGATCAGGATTAGTTGATCTCTTGAAATAAAATTGTACATTTATAAATATATTCTTTATAGACTTAAGCTAAACAATACGTTAAATAGAAAATTTAAAAATTGTATTTTACTACAATGAAGTAGTAATAAAGTATTTATTAATGACATATTTTTCATTCCCATTTTGCATAAGAGATTAGGGCTTAAAGAGTTATCTAATGTCAGGGTCAGAATTTCAACTCAGCCATTTAGATTATCATCCCAATCAAGTTAAATTTTCTCTCTAACCTTGCTTTACTGAAATTTCAACTAAATCTGGTATGGTGGTGTACTTCTTTAATCCCAACATTCATGAGGCTGAGGTAGGAGGGTTGCCATGAGTTCAAGGCCAGCTTGGGTTCCATAGTGAATTCAAGAGAAGCCTAGACTACATACTTAGACCTTTTGTCACCCCCACCCAAAATTTCAAGTGATACTGGATGGGTATAAAATGTCTTTAAAATATATATAAAATATAGAGAATTATGATGTAATGAATCCTTATATATGTTATTTAGATTAAAATTGTTCAGTTCTGACCTGTGTTGTTCTGTTACAATGTGCTCCTTTATCTCAGTCTCCCCGCCTTTTTAAAAATTAATCTACTTTTTCTTATTTTTTTTCAATTAAGGGAAAACTAAATTAAAAAATAGCGGGATATATTATAGTAACTTTTTTGTTTTCCTATTAACCTGATTTGAACCCCAGTATTGCTCTCCCCATCTTGTTCTGTCTGATTTTACTATATTCTGTTTTGTTCGATAGTATCAAGTTTGAGGGTATAGGCAACCACTTTGAAGGCAATAAGATTTACTATGATGCCCATTATGGTTTGACTATTATCTTCTTTTGAAGTCCTGTAAGGTCTCTAGTGTAGGTTTTATTGGGCTTGTTCTGTACTGTTTTGGTCAATTCTGTTATACCTGATGATATAGGCAACTCTTTCTAAAAATAGCAAAAGGCACAATGGTAACCATTTTTGATCACCTGATATTCTATTTTTGCATCATGTACTATGCCCATCCTTCTGTTCTAACTGACTGTGTTTTGTTTAGTCATGTTTGGTTTTATTCTCTTCAAAAAAAAAAAAGTAATAAGAACTGTGGAAGTAATAAAACCCAAAAAGTGTAATTGTTATTGTAAAAAAGAGCGGAAAGGAAGGTGGTCTAAGGGATATAACTGCATTTATGTTTGAGTGTGTAGGATGGAAAACTATATTACTGAGCTTTTGTTGGATCATTGAATGGAACTGTCTGCACTCTCACTGTATGAATGTCCACTTTATATGCTTTAATTTTATAATTTGGACAACTGTTTCTAATATGACAATATGTAACCTATTAACTAGTGATTTCTTACTGTATATTTTTTTCTTGAAATTCTGTATTACTTGTACCCTTTTACTACTATGTTTTTTATTTCCTTTTTTCTCTTTAAATAATAAAAAAATTTACTGTGAAAAATTGCCATTTAAAAATATTTTTATTATAAACATTTAGAAAACCACAAAAACCAAATACATGACCTAATGAATTACAGAATATGTTCTTATAACCATTACCTAAGTCACCACAAAAGTCCTTTGTTTCCTTCCAATTTCAACTCTTTTCCCGCCTTAAGTAACCATTATAATAGCACACTGTTACTATTTTATGGAAGTCACATGGCATATTATTATAATTTTATTACCTAGTGCTTAACAGTTATTATAGGATAGTCATTTCTGGGTCCAGATTTGCTGTAAAGCTTTTCAAAAAAATAAAATTAAGACCTATTTACTCTTACGGTGTGTACCTATTGAGAATTGTAAAATGGTGATTGTCTAATTCTGTTTTCTTTTTATCAGTTTGAATATTATCATAAATAGGTATTTCTGACTTTCTTTGAGAAGCCATATAAAAAAGTCAGAATAAATGCTTATTTTCCTTTACCAGTTTTCATAATAATGAACTGGTTCTCTGTCATCTTCCAAAAATGATCAGTTTTTAAAAGATTATACTAGATAATTACGAGTTTATACATTCAAGCACATTTCGTGGGTTTCAATATAGCATATTTCATTATTTAAGCTCAAATTATCTCATTTTTGGTCAGTACAAGCCTCTTAAAATTGGCTGCTGAGATTTTTGGGTTAGCTTCCTTGCCTGCTGTTGTAAGATTCATCTTATACTTTCCTTTTGGAACCACTCAGTACTCTGAGAAGCACTGGTTTCTTACAGTAAGAGATGGTATTTTAAAACCACAACTGTGTTAGACATGTTCATTTTACTGAGTTTGTCATTGTTTCTAGGCTCTTTCAGTGAACAGAGATAGGAATATAAAGGTAACATAACTTAGGAGTTCATACTTCTAATTCAAATTCAAGACTACAGAACTTTATTTTGGATATAGTTTTGTTGTAAGAATTGTGCATGGGATTTTGGTTTTGCTATCCAGTTGCTTTTTGTGTTTTTATTTGTGGATTTGAAAAGATTAGGATATATATGGCCACTACCATCTTCCCAGAATTATTAACATTATTTTTGATGCCCACTGTTTATGTACCTCCTGTTTTTTTTCCTGTTCAGAAGTAACCATTATTTTAATTCTGTGCTTTTCACTTTTTGCTTTTCCATGTAGTTTTAGCATGTGTTTCTATCCCTAAACAATACAGCTTTATAAATGAATTCATATTTTTCTGTGACTTGTGTTTTGTTCAACTTCTGTTCCTTTGATTCATTCTTATTGTGTGTGGTTATAGTTTATGGATTTTTATCTCTGTATAGCATAGCAGAATTAATATGAAATAGTTCATTTTTCTATTGACAGTTTTTTGTAGTTTTTCCTTGTCAAACATATTTCTAAGAAATTTTGTATACTGTTACTCGTATACACCAGCAGGGTTTTCTCTCAGCATATACTTATGAGTAGATGTATTGAATTATAGGGAAAGCGATTCATAAATATATCATTTAGGCAGTGTCAGGCAAATCATTCCCCAGAGTGGTTACATTAATTTACTTCTTCACAGCATTACACCCAGTCTAAGAACTGGACTTCACCAGAACTGTATATATACTTATATATTCTTCTATCTCTCATTTCCCACACATAAGCTCCATCCTAAGGTTTGCATTTATCTTACCTTCTAGAAAAATTGCTATCATGTATATGAATAAACATTTTTAGTTTTATAATAAGTTTTGAGCCCTACTTAATCAATTTTTGTGGTATTGGAAATTAAGCCTAGGGCCTTGTGCATAGCACTGAGTAACACCTCCAGCGCCACGGGCCTTATTTTCAAATGGGGACTCATGTACTCTGTAGTTTTCTGGAACTTATTTTAACTCGACATATTAATAAGATTTCCCTGTGTGTGTTGTTTGTAACTAGTGATTCTTAGTGATTCTTTGTTATTGCTGTATAACCCACTGTATTGCTATGTTCTTTTTTTGATAAGCATTATTAATTGGTTCTGGTTGTTTCATTAGGCATTGTAAGACAGCAACAGTAGCAATCAGCACTTACTGTCATGGACACTTTTCTGAGTGC